GGTTCCACCGTGATCCGTGAATGAATTAAGGATTGAAATGAACGTGATCGTTTCGTAGATTTTTAGGATTGAATAGGATCGAAATTCTTGTTGTTTTCCGTTTATCTGAGTGTCTTACGACGCAGCAAACAGCAAGTACTCTGTATACTTGATAATTTTATTACGCAGTAATATAAATTCGTGAATTTTTTTATATTCCTACGCGAATCGTGATTGCCTCGATTTTTTCGTAAACGTGAATGAGTTTTTTCAAGTTTTCACGACTCATGATTCGTGAAGACTAAATATAAAAATATTTAAATATAAAAATATTTCAATATAAAAATATTTAGTCTACACGTGAATGCTCTTTAGAGAGGGATATAGGGCCCTTATTATAGCAAAAAATCCCAAAATTCAACAAGCACTAGTTTTTATTTTCAAATGCGAGTATTCAGCGAAGGCTCTTCGTCTGGAAAGTTAGAAACCTCGACTCCGTATATTTTTCAAGCTGATTCATTGCAACGAAGTAGATTCGTCCAAAGTGTCAGAATCCTAACTAACTGTGCACTTTCAGTAAAAAGTAGGGGAGACTCGTACCCAGTCGTCAGGTCTAGGTCAGTCGACTGAGGAGTGCAACGACGAAAACAAATTTGAGCCTTGATCATTCCCATCATGCACCACATTTTTTTCAATCCTCATTTCAGGGACTGGGTTAGAGGTGTATTTCCTGTTTCCTATGTCAGTGATAGTTGCCCGCTGAGATTACAGTAAATCAGATACATTTCTAAATTATTATCAACCAGCGTATTTACAAAATGCATTAATGTAATTTATTGTACAGTACAGTAGCTCAAAGTATTGTGCAGAAGCTCCAAAGTATTGCCCAAAGACAAGTATCTTCAATGTACATTTATGTATGTATAGCGCGTCATCATGATCCAATAACCTCACTTTATATATTTGTTCATAAATTTCTTGTGAAATTCCGACCTCAAAGTATCGTTAATAAACTTCCCTTCCTAAAATACAACAACAGTGAAATAAGAATATCATCTAGAACAAGCATATAATGTGATAGGGAAATACTCCACTGTTTGTGTCTGTTAAAATCTCACTCAGGCGTAGACCTCATCAGCTAAATTCACATTTTTGGATAACTCGCATGCATGTTTATCGAAAACGAAGAACTACGAAAACCGAAGACCTACAGTAAGATTGTTTTGGCAATAATTACAAAACGAAGACACATCTTAGGTCTTTGTTTTCGTAGGGGATCGTTTTTGAAACACCCGCATGCATGTTTACCACTGTTTTGACATATATGACGGACTATACGCGTAAAAACGCACAAGTTGTAACAAGCCTGTTAATTTAACAATTCAACAAAAAATTCAACAATTTGTCAACAAGTTGTGAGTGACAATCTTGTAGCAACTTGATAAAATAACAGCATTGTTACAACTTGTCGACAAGCTTGCCATAAGCGTGTTGAGAACACATCTTGTTGACAAGTTGTGATATTTTTACGTGTGTAGTGAAGACTAGGTAACCAAGGATTTTAATTGGATGGCGGTGCATGGGCGTAGACGACTTAGCCAAGAAAATGAATTTCATATTTGTTTGATGTACTATGCCCATTACTTTCTGAAACAAACATTACGTACTAAATAAATAAATAAATAAATAAATAAATAAATAAATAAACATCTTTCACACCGACCTTTCCTTTTTCTGGGATGCCTTTTGCACAATTCTTAAAAACAACGTCATCGTCCCATCTAAATAAAACATTGTTTCGTTAATTGTAAATCTACTTCAGTAGGTAAGCAGGCTGCATGCATGACTATATTCTCCGAGTTGACGTCATGAATATTTCACTATCTACACATTCTTGCCAAAAATAGATCTCAGAATTAAAATCTTCATGCTCCATTTAGTCTATACCATTGAATTATAAATAAACTGGAAGGCTAAGTCAGGGGGGGAGTTGAAGCCGTGCTTGAAGCTTTCTTTGTAGGTAGACCCAGTCCTTTTTTTAATTTTTGTTCAAAATATGCACATTTTTTGATCAGATAAATCTTGCCCCAAAATACTAGTTAGCTCTACCATCGAATTTAATTTATATCAGTAGTATGATAAACGAATTTAGTATTCGCAAAGCAAACAAATCACAAATTAGCAAAAAATACCAAAAAACACGACCATCAGCATGAACGGTCAGAAAAACCGCGCGTTTTAGGTCGCTTTTTCTAAGTTTTTGAAAGTTTAAAAAAAAAACTAAGACGTCATAGCTCAGAAATTATTTAAACCCATGTAAAATACATCTGCATGCGAAGTTTCAAGAAGATTGAACGTTTTAGGGTCGAAAAAAAAAACATTTAAAAATTGACAAAAATATTGCCATATTCAAAGTGCCCAACACGAAGATGTGATGACGAAAATAACATCACTTGAAAAACGTCAATTTATTCATGTTTTAGAAGGAATAAAACAAGTTCTAAAAGCTAATAACTAAAGGATCAATAACAATACCTAGGGTTCAGTACAACATAAGTTTTGGGACTGTCAAAATGTTTTATTAATAGTATATTTTTTTGAGTTGAAGAGCGAGGTTTCTTTCGGCACTTTTTGTTGCAAAGATGTAAAACAGTTGGAACTAATGGGAAAACCAGATTTGAATCCCAATCATTGTAGTATTCCCATGGAAAAAGTGTCTTTCTTGCAAATTTTTGCTCAAAAACAAACTTTTGACCGAATTTTTTTCACTCCTCGAAACTCTCCTTAGTCCTGTTGAAAGCGGATTTACCCGCGCGTCGGCTTCAACGAATCATAGGCCTTCATCATAGGAGTTAGCCTTCCAGTTTATTTATAGTTCAATGGTCTATACCAAAAATTTCACGACGTTTGGATATTCATGGCGCGAGTTACGGCGTTTTGAAAATGTTGTTTTTCCTATACACTTGACGGAAATTTGCGCTGCAGTAAAATTGGAGCACGAAGATTTCAATTCTGGGGTCCATTTTTGGCAAATATGAAAATGAAAAATCTTCATATTTATATGAAGATAATGCGAGGTAATTTTAAGCGTGTAAGTAATTTTAAGCGTGTAATTCAGTTTTGTAACTGCAAAGCGTTTTATTACACCATTTATTATTGTTATAACTCGGACTGGAAAATGTCGTAGATAAGAAAACACATGTCTGCAAAATTACAGCAGGATTTTCAACTTATAGTACAGTATTTGGTACCTCCGTTTTACTTGGAAATTTGAAGATGGTTGTAATAATGGATTTCCTTGTAAGATATTTTCTGTTCTGATTCGTTCTTCTTCCACCTTCTTCTCTTGTTCCTATCAAATAAAAATTACGACCATTCACTTACTCGCCTCGTCAAAGCATCTCTTAAATAAAGTTTACTAAACCAAACTCAGCATATGACTAACATCAAATTTAGATGTGTGCATCAATTTAATCCGGTGCATAGGTTTAGTATCTAATCCTGTAGATGTTATTTTCTCTGTAAATAATTCTTTCTATGCAAAGGCGTAACTTGGGTCTAAAAATTAGGGGCATGTGGATACAGTACGTTTTGTGAACACAAGACGCCTGGGGGGATTTAGAGTCTCTGAAACGCCATTTCGTGCACCTTGGATGACGAAATTACAGAACTCAGTCAGAAAATGACAAAAATTAGATTAGCAATTTTTTTAAATTGCTCAAACTGGACTTCTAGGTTTTTATGTTCTTACTCAACATGATTTGAATGTATTCTTGCCCACCAAATTATTGAGTATTTGGTGAATTTGCTCTATAAAACTGCTCTTTTCAAACATTAGGCGGCTGTCACCCCACCCCTCCTCAACCTACCCCACCCCCAGGATTTTCACCCTTGTTTCTCTGTTTTATTTAAAATTTCTTGCAACCTTCCTAGCTTCTTCTTGTGCTCTTTCTTTCTTTATTCTCTGTAATTCTGCTAACAGCTCAGCGGTGTCATCTTCATCGTCACTAAATATAGAATTACATGAAAGTAAAATAATAGAGTAGAGCATATTGCAGCTTAATTGGGTTATTAAAACACATTGGCAGACTTTTTGATTAACCATTAATGCATAAGACTCTCCCCTGACAAGTAAAATCACCTGGCAGAACAAAAGAACACAGTAAGGTGAAGCTTGATGGGTTCAATAAACACCAATTACATTAGTAATATTATATCATGCTAAAAAATCTGTATGTTGGTGTAAATGAAAGCGATCATTTGGAAGTCCATAGAAGTAAAATTGATGGTTTATTGACGCTGTGTCTGTTCCAATTTAGCTTTACATATTTGCCACCCAAAATGGTGGAAGTCAAAAAGTATGCCAAGTGAGGTGTTGTGATGTCACTTCAAGGGCATTGAGAATCCACCCTCAGTGGCCTTCTTGTATCGACCAGCCATATTTCAAAACGTTAAAATGTGTGAAATTCAAACCTTTCATCTGAGTCATCTGAGTCGTCATCATCAACAGGATCATCTGCATCTAAATTAGTAGCTGGTACTTGATCTACTCGAGATCTTTTTGATTCTGTCCGACTTCCTCTGTCTCTCGTTCTTTCTCTTGCTGCTTGACGTTCTCGCTCTTCTAAATCACGTTTGAAATCTTTCTCTCGTAATTCACCAACACTGTCTTGCCCAGTTTGCCTGGAAATTTTATTAATTATATTATTTGCCATCAACAAAAATTATATAATACAAATTTTAAACAGCAAACTTCATTGGAAATACAACTTACAATAGCAAAGGCCCTTTGTCGGGACGTTAGTAACACAGATCGGGAAAAATTTATTTTTTCCCCAATCCACGCTACTAACTTCCTGACATAGAGCTTTCACTCAAAACGTTGAAGTTCTGCTTGTATTTTTCTGGTACCGTACATGTCGTTTTATTTCCTACTGTATAAAACAGGTGAGGATTTATAGGGGGGTGCACAGGGGTGCGCACTCCTGTTGGCCTTGGTCAACAGGGGTGCAAGGGGGTACACAAAAATCAAATTCAGAAGGATTTTCCTTTTCTTTTTTTTTTGTTAAACTGAAGCTCATAATTCAATGCCCATATCGCAGGAAATGGCATTTCTAGGGTTCTAATTTTCAAATTAGAACCCTAGGGAGCTTGTGCCTTGGGCGCTGACTTTTTCCATTCGCAGATTTTAGATTCAAGCTTTATTATTGCTGAACGCTAACGTTCACAACCAGTGGTATAGTGTCAATTCAGTTGGTCAATTGTAGAATTTGAAAATTTATGTATAAATATTATCCAACAAAATGACTTTATAAATACCATAGATATCTTATAAGATATCTATGATAAATACACATGCTGTCTGTTGAGTTGCAAATTTATGAGCCAAAGTCATTCATGCGCATCGTCTGCGCATTGGCAGTGCTACACGTCACACATGAACCATGCAGAATCCCGGCTTTGTTAGGAAAATTGGAAAAAGAATATAAAGTTCACTTACTAATGAACATCAACCAAATATTTGAACAGATAATATTACTGACATAATTTTAATTACATCTATTAGACATGCTACTACTGTATACAATCATATTTTTTTTCAACTTTGACAGTTGGCAAAGCGACTTAAAATCATAAACGGTTAAATAAAGTCATTTCTGGTTCCGGCTGGACTTTTTCACATCCGATTCGACTGGAACTTAAAATATTGGTTCTGGTTCACCCCTACCTTCGATTACTTTTGATATCTATCTCTAAGTACATGGATTTGGCCAATTCAATCAAATAATACTAAATACTATCCCTTGACTGGTAAAATTTCCCGGCATTAAACCAAGAAAATATTTCAAGCAGACAAATTTAAGGGCTGTTTATAAGGAGCCAGGACATGGCCAAATTTTGAGGGAGGTGTGCACCACCCCTGAGATCGCTTTGCACCTCCCCTGATAATTTTTGTACCTCCCCTAAAAAGTGATGCACTTCCCCTTGGGAAAGTTTTAATGATAGATCAAAGTGAAAATTTGACATTTTTGGTTGCTTAGGGTCTACACTTCATAAGAACGTTTTTCTGTAAAATTGAAACAGTGACAGCCATTCATGATTCATCTTTAGTGTCAAGTACCCTTTTAATGCCATGTTTTGAAAGAAACTTTGTAGTAATTGTAATGAGGGCAAAATTGGATGAGTTGTACACATTGAACTATATAAGTAAACTGGAATGATAAGTTGGCCGCCATCTTTGAAGCCGGTTATGAGACTTCAGTGTTTTCTGCAGGTAGCCCCGGTCCTTTTTTACAAAATGGATGCAAAAACTACAGCTTAAAAATCGTTAATATTTTCTCACTTTTACTTCTTTCAGGGCATTTATATTTACCTCAGAGCACACTTCGACAACACAACTTTTATCCAAGGCACATAAAATAAGTAAATATTGTTTAGCTGCCGAAATATGACATGAACAAAACAAAACTCGGCAAAAAACCGAGCATAAATTTATGGTTTTTCTGAGTTTTTAGACTTTCCAGAAAGAGTTCTGAGACAATTTTATACAATTTACGTAGAAAAATCTTAGATATGGTTGATAATGGAGTCCAAACATCCAGAAGCATAATTTAATAAGTTAAAATTAAGGATTAAATATTTAGTAAAATATTTTGTGAAAAATTTTGTGTATTTATTATAGTATACATACCTGCAAACAGGCTATACTTGAGTGCCCAAAATTTAGCCACACAGGTCTTTATCATAAGAGTTATCGTTCCAGTTTACTTATAGTTCAATGGTTGTACAGTCATAATATATTAATACACTGATACATATCTAAACTACATGCATATGTCACATCGTCGACTTTGGTCCATTCTAAGTCATAGCTTTCCAT